CTAATCTTCTTCGGCGGCTTGTAGAATGTTCTAATAGAAGCTCGCTTCAAGATGTAGCCAATCTTGTCTGTGACACCTCTGACATATGGTATTACAGCAGACATACGCTCGACTGTGGCCGGCTTCACTCGGTCACTGTGACGGAGGCGCGGGACCCGAAGCTTGTTGTCGTGCAGAACCTGCTTGACGTGCTGAAGCTCGGCGGCCAGGTGTTTGCTGTCACAGATCCCTCGTGCTCTCTGTAACAAAGATTTGCCCACGGTAGCTAACTGTGAAAGATGGTGGTGAGATTCACCATTTAAGTATCGGTTTGTATGGGTCTTTTTTCTATATACAGTATGACCTATGGTGTTGTTAGGATTTCGGATGACTAACACATCTAGGAAAGCTAAGGAATTATTTGCCTCTAATTCCATAGTAAATTGAATTTTAGAGTTTATGGAATTAAGATATTCTAAAAATGCAGTTACTTTGTCTGATGGTAAAATTGTGAAAGTATCGTCTACGTACCGCTAATTAAATAAAGAAGGAGGCTGGGTACTACCACCTGCTTGGGATCCTATAATTAATAAAATTAAAACTAAACCCAAGCATACCACTGCAAGACTTCAAAACACAGTTCATTCTGCGTAGATCGGACCAAAGACAATAATTAAAAAGCTGAAGGTACTCCGGGTTAACTTTGACATCGGGACGTCAGTCACCTCAGTCCCCCGTGACCATGGGTGCTGGAAAGCACCCGAAACGGCGGGTATTAAAATTAATATAAATAAAACGCGATAAAATCCGTAAAAGTAGTTTTAATCAATGTATAGTGTTCGCGTAAATATAAGAAATCATAATATTGCACTCCTTACACTTCACTGCATCCATTTTTAATCTCGTGCGCAACATGTCGATCGCGCGTTCGCGACGCAACTGGTATTTATAGCATTAATAAAAACTCAAATATTCACAAATAATTGAAACTAATGCAAAGGTTGTTTCATCCTTAACAGAACTGATTAAAAATTGTAGCAGTATCTGTTATTAATATTGAGAAACATTAGAATTAGTGAATATACTCGTACTCTCATAGGTAAAGAAAATCAAATGCCGTTTTTCCGAATTTTGTACCACGTACCTATGTAAATAATTGGCAGTAATTCTAAGCGTATTAAATAGCATTTTTAATTTCCTTTCAAAAAAAGGTATCACGTGTATAGTTTGTGAGTATGTTATCAAACAAATATGTTTAAAACAAAAAAATGTCCCAAAGTAAAGCGCGATAACTTTGGGTACACACTAGGTATAAAATCCGACGTGTTTACTGGCTCTAGATGGGTCGTTTAAAGCTTAAAGGCGTAAAATATCATACTTAAAAGGCAACAAGTACGATACTATGAATAAGACCAATATTCATTGAAATATAGCTCTTTTTTAACGACTATACCCAAATGTACGTTTGTAAACCGCTGCTACACAGGCCAATTTTACGGGTGAAAAATATTGTTAACCAGGAGTTAACAGGTCAGTTTATGGAAGAAATGTGTTGTAAACCAGTGGTTAACAGGGTCATGTCAGCAGATAAAACAACTTCTAAACATCATTATTGAGGCAGTAATTCTAACTGGCAAGGAAAAAGGAAAATCCGTTTTTATACCACGAATTCAATTAATTTCAAATGATTTACCATTCTGTTTTAAGCGGTTATAGTTTCCTCTACGATAGGCTTACAGTCTTATTCATAAAAATCCACTAAAATGGCGTTATAACAGTAATTAGTTAAAATGCTTAATAGTACTATTAAACCTATTATAAAATTCTCTATTCATAAGCGTTCAATAAACCTGTCAGTGAAATCATATTTATGGAATACTTTAGTTTTATTATGTTGTCATTCTGATGAATCCATAGACAAGCCACGGTAAAAAAAGTTTGACAGCAATTGTGACATTTCCGTCAAAACAAGCGAAGCGTAGTGCTTTCATTAAATCAATTCAAGAAATTGATTTGTTTTATATTCATATATAACTCAATAAAAATAATGGAAAACATAATATGTAAAAAGCGGCAAAGAAGTGAAAATTGGCTGGAGGAAGATAAGGTTAGTATGTGACTAAAGTAATTTTGTCATAGGTGCTTAGTGCACAAATGTTACTTAACTGTGTTGTTATAATAGTATCCTTTTTTTTCCATAGCATTTATTGATGGATTTGGTAAGGGAGCGTGTATCAGTAATTGAAAATCAAAATACTGATACAAATACAAACTCAAAAAAGCTAGCAGCATGGGCAGATTTATTATGCAGGTACCTATTTTTGTCTATCAATTTGTGAAGTGTTTGAAGATGAGTCTTCAACGCAATGATATTCTATGTACGGTCAGTTACATTATTATGCAACAGAATCATGTCACTTCGTCTCTTGCTGGTCTAATGCATATAAGCTTTTCAAGTCATAACAGTGGGCAGTCCACATAGTTCATAGAACATAGGATTGGACAGGTTGATCTACTATGAGAAAGCGCAAAAAAGTCCTCAAGGTCGCTTGCATTGTGATTGACCCATTTTGAATATTAAAATGTCAAATATTTGTATAAATTGTGATTATACTTTTTTCCTGTTTCAACAGTATGTGTAAAGGTGGCACTCGCACTCTTCCCCAAATAAAATCCCAATGGAGCATCATTAAAATGACAAAAAAGAAAATTAAGTCTATCGAACGAAAGAATCTTCGCCAGACTCGTGGTGGTCCACATCCAAGTACGAACCCTGAAAATGCAGACATTTGTTCATGGCTCCCTAACGAATTTGTCATTGACACCAATGAATTTGATTCTGATGAAATAAATCAGGTATTACATACGTCAAGATTCTAAGTTAAAGGTCGCAAGTTTTATCTCTACCCAGTACAAACTTTAATGTTGCGTAATAAATATATTTGTTCCTTTTTTACCTAAATAGCATACCTACTAAAGTTTACTTAATGATATAGTTATCAAAAAAAAAAATCCATGCTTAAGTACATTATTATTTTAATTATTTATTGCATTGTTTGTAGATTGGGGAGCCATCGCAAAATGAAATCAAAGTGGATGGGATAAATAAACTTGTCAATGTTGAAAACAAGTCTTCAGATAATGTGAGCATCTATAAAGCATTGAGATAGCTAGCAATTTTCATATTTTTAATACCTATTTTATTTTTATATTTTACTGTTGTAGGACACAAAGAGTGCAGTAAAGGACGTCACAGTAGAAATATTTGAGGAGATCCAAACTACACGAGGGGTAAATATGTGAAATGTCATAAACCAAGTACTTACTAAACATGTGCCAAAGTGGGAATCGAACCCATAACTTGATTTGTAATCCTGGATTGTAAAGTTTAGGGATAAAAATAATTCAGTTGAATAAACAATGGTCTATTTAAACCTAAATTTTATTTGATGAAACATTTTATGTCAAAGTATATTTAAGATTACGTTAATGAAAACATGTTTCTTTTAACGGTTTCCTTTGCTGCAGGTTGTATCTATTGTCTCAGCACCAAAACCACTCTATACACCATCTAAGAAACCTGAAAGAAAGAATAAAACTGAGAAAAAGGTGAATATAATGACCTCTACTCTAATAGGGATTATGTTAATTTATGAAATTGTTTTTTTTGACTCTGAGGACTCTGAGGCTTTGAAAAATCTCTCAGAGAGTGATTTAAGGAATTGTTGGGAGCTCTAAGTCTCGGTGTAGGTCGGCATTACGGACATAATAGGGCGAGTTAGTGGCCCTACGACAGAATAGATTTTGAACTATTTGAAGTTCATTTATAACTTTGGGGTTGATTTTTTTAAATACTCAAACATAACTATTTGTATTTCAGACCGCAGATCATGCAGAAACTACAGGCAATACTGAAATCGAGTGCAGGAAAGAGGTCCATCAAGCCCAAATGGCAAATGAAGAAAGGAAAGCCCGAAACTTGGACCTCGATGAGACCTTAATTAAATTAAAAATTCAATATTATAAAAAAAACTTCTAGTTCTTGAAAATAAATAATTTAAAATTAAAATGTGGAGCTTACTTACTCATACCCTTAATTAGCTAAAATGCCTATCGATAAATGCTCGTAGAAGAGCATTATTGAAGTCTCTTCCTCTGGCCTCACCAATTTGAGGTAGAAGTTCAGCATCTACAATTGTATTGAGTTCATCATGATCTGAAAATTATATTATTATTTGTGTGCAAATTACCTGGCACCGAATCCTGTTGTCCTATTGCAATATTGTGCAACACTGCAAGAGCCACAATTGTAGGTTTCACATTTTTCATGTGTACTGTCATGCCATACAACAGACTTTGAAACCGATGCTTCCACACTCCAAAGCAACGTTCAACACAGTTGCGAGTGGCAATTTGTGCTCGATTATATTTTTCTTCGCACGCTCATTTTGTGGTCTTAGTATAGGTGTGAATAGATATGTCTCTAATCGGTAGCCTGAATCTCCTAAGAGTCTCCCTCTAAACTCTCTTCTTTCAAAGCGCTCTTTAAGAGTCGATTCGTTAAAGATACGGGAATCATGGGTACTGCCTCGCCATCTGGCAACGATGTCTCTGATATACAGCTTAGCATCGCAAATCACCTGCATTAAAAATTTAAAAAAATATGTGAGCACAGTTATGTATGTAGGTAAAATAAATACATACATACATTTATATATACACATATATATGTATATAAGTAATATACCACCTGGCAAAGAACTGCATTGTATTATTATATGAACTTACTTGTACATTCAATGAATAAAATCCTTTTCGGTTTATATAATACTGAGCTGTATCACCACTAGATTTCTTTATTTTTATGTGAGTACAATCAATGCAACCCAACACAGAAGGGAAATTTCTTATCTCTAAGAATTCCCTTACAACCCTTTGCTCTTCTGCCAGAGACTGTGGCACTTTTACGTACGTCTCAGAGTGACAAGCAATCGCGCGAGCTACTCTGGCACAAATGCGACTCACAGTTGTGTCAACCCATGAAGGTCTCCCCCATCATCTTGAACCTAAAACGGATAGGTACAAAACCGTTTACATACTCATTTAAGGTATTATTACTTGTATACTACGAGTTGAGACTTACTTCACGACGTCCCCAACATCTAATGGCAGTTAACACCTGCAATTCTGGTGATGTACCACAACCCCTTGGGTCCAGTTGTAAATCTTGCCTTACAAGATCAATTATAAAAGATGCCGTATGTTTATTGAAGCGGTATCGCTTTTTGAACTCTACATCGGGCAAAGAAAACGGATCATATCTCTTCTGGTAAACCTTACGACGACGATGCGGAGCATTTCCTAGTTGCTCCATAGCTTCTAAAGCTTGCAGAGCTTGCATATCGAAACTTTTTAGTAATCAAAATCCACAAAAAACAATTTCACCAACAATAAATTAAACCACTTAAACAAACAGCTGTTCGTTGCTCGCACGCAAGTCGGCCATATTTTTCTTTATTACAGGTTTGTAGTAGGGTGGACCCTTCTATAACTTATGAAGCCGTTATAGAACACATATAATGCGTTTTAGAGTTATTAAAGGTTTATGAATAATGTTTTATGGGTACCTCCTTATAACAAGCTAATAAACCTATTTTAACTTTTTATGAATAAGACTGTTACAGTATAACTATCAATAAGGCACAAGACCAAACGTTCCAATATTGTGGAGTGAATTTGGGAGAATACCGTTTTTCACATGGTCAACTTACCAGATGCACCAGAACATAAGACAGTAAATGTGCATAAGAATGTATTGTAATATAGGTATTCAGTACATGACTATCTGTAAAGTATTTTTGTACAATGAATAAAAATATGTAAGAAGAAAAACTTAAAAATTTAACAAGAAAAATCACGTGTTCTGAATTAAAAAATAACATATTTAATAAAATATACACACACATGAATAAATATTCGACAAAAACTAACCCAGCGAAGCGGGTTTTCACAGCTATTGTACATATTTCATCAGAGAAGAAGAATTATTAGAATATTGTACATATTTTATCAGACAAGAAGATTTTGCTCCAGTGTGTATATTCAAATGCCTTATATATTACATGAAAAAGGTTTTTCATCTGTGTGTATTTTCATATGTGTTTGCAAATTACTTTTTCTAATACATCTTTATTCACAGGTATTACACGAAAAAGGTTTTTCACCGGTGTGTATTTTTATATGTGTTTGCAAATGACTTTTTCTAATACATCTATAGTCACAGGTATGACACGAAAAAGGTTTTTCACCGGCGTGTATTTTCATATGCGTTAGCAATTGACTTTTTCTAATACATCTATACTCACAGGTATTACACGAAAAAGGTTTTTCACCGGTGTGTATTTTCATATGCGTTTGCAAATCACTTTTTCTAATACATCTATATTCACAGGTATTACACGAAAAAGGTTTTTCACCGGTGTGTATTTTCATATGTGTTTGCAAATGACTCTTTGTAATGCATCTAAATTCACAGATATGACACGAAAAAGGTTTTTCATCTGTGTGTATTTTCATATGTGTTTGCAAATGACTCTTTCTAATGCATCTAAATTCACAGATATCACACGAAAAAGGTTTTTCACCGGTGTGTATTTTCATATGCCTTAGCAATTGACTTTTTCTAATACATCTATATTCACAGGTATGACACGAAAAAGGTTTTTCACCGGTGTGTATTTTCATATGTGTTTGCAAATGACTCTTTGTAATGCATCTAAATTCACAGATATTACACGAAAAAGGTTTTTCATCTGTGTGTATTTTCATATGTGTTTGCAAAGTACTTTTTCTAATACATCTATATTCACAGGTATCACACGAAAAAGGTTTTTCACCGGTGTGTATTTTCATATGCCTTAGCAATTGACTTTTTCTAATACATCTATATTCACAGGTAATACACGAAAAAGGTTTTACACTGGTGTGTATTTTCATATGTGTTTGCAAATTACTCTTTGTAATGCATCTAAATTCACAGATATTACACGAAAAAGGTTTTTCACCGGTATGTATTTTCATATGTGTTTGCAAATGACTCTTTGTAGTGCATCTAATTTCACAGATAGTTACACGAAAAAGGTTTTTCTCCGGTGTGTATTTTCATATGCGTTTGAAAATTTCCTTTATTTGTACATTTATAATCACAATTATTACAACAGTACACTTGCTTAGCGACGTGCGCTTTAAGATGTGCTAAAATGCAACGTTTATAAGATGTTTTAAATTCGCAAATATCACAGTTATATATATCAATTAGTTGTGGTACTGGAGTTTGTTCAACTTGTGCCTTAACTGCATCCGAGTTCTTTTGCGTCTTATGACTGTACGATATGTGGTCGGCGAGAATATCTTTTGTTAAAAACTTTTTTCTACAATCATCACATTCAAAAATGTATTTTGCTGATGCCTCAGATGTGTTTTCCGTAAGTATATTTACACTCTGTTTAAAATTTTTCTTTTTCATGATTTTTGCAGGATGTTTCCCTTTTTTAATAACTGGTTTAGTATCTCTTTTCATTTTAGGCTTTGTTTTAATAACAAGCCTTTCTAAATCGAGGTTTCTTTTACGAACATCATTTATGTTACAATCAGTAGAATTTGATTTAATCTCACACGGTTTCGAAAACATATTTGTTTGTATGCAGGTTTGTTCTGAAACGCAAATGAATCAAACACTTTATTTATTGTAAGAAATTGTATCTTTATTGTAAGATAACTTAGACGGTTTACATTAGGCGGAGTTTATGTCTTATGGCATTCTCTCTATCAGTCAACCCAGGGAGATATAGAGAAATTATAATATTTTACATAATTATACTAAATAATGTTGCTAGATATAAAGTATTTTAGCCAATTTCTCTAAATAACACATTCATTTTTGGTGGGAAAGAATGGAATAGAACCTAAATTTGAATAATAATGTTGACGTTGTTCTGACCGTGTTATAATTATAATAATGTAATGATCGCAGGTTCAAATCCCACACAGAAAGTGTTTTTTTACCAGTATTTTTTATCTATCTATCTAATTGCTGTTTCGAATTCCATACAGAACTAGTGTTACATACACATTACAGACGAAGTTGGCGTGTAAGTGCGGCATAAGAGAACTCATCATCACATTTTATCCCGTGGGTTTCGTAAGAGGCGACTTTGGGTTTGGTTTTCCGACAGATGGCGGTATAACCACCTCGTTTACTTCAGATGTAAAATATCAAGACCGGCGACAGGCATCATTGCCAGAGGTGCCCACGTCTGGTTCTGCGATCGTCAATCCTATGCCAAGCGTGACGACTGAGGCAAATCCTCCCTACATCGGGAGAGATCCTTCCATGTGCGGCAGTGGAAGTTTACGGGACGATTAAGATAAAGGAATTATTTGTAGGCCATACAAAAACTCAAAACAAACCCTGGTACATCAAAACTTCACAGTATGCTAGCAACCCAGGTTCGATCTCCACCAGCATCCATAAAATTGTTAATTTTCTATGTGTATATAATATATACAGGTTGTCCCACAAATCGAAGTTAATTCGGAGTCGGGTTGTCATAATAGTTAACAGAAATATTTTAAAAAATCTTTGCTATGTATTTTAAAAATTACAGGGTTTTATAATAATCGAGAAAATTTACATCCTCTCACAGTCTTTTAATTCCTGTTGCTACAAATATTAATTCTTTTTTTTAATGTTATTTTATTGTGTCATTTTGTTTTTTGCCTAACCCAGGATCTCATGATTAGCAGATGTACTAACAGCTTTCTCAGACGTTAGTAGCCCTATCAACAAATCAGTGAATCCTCTTTCCTATTTTATCTTAAAAACACCTTGGGTCACCACCGACGAATTCAGTTCTTGCTTTAAACAACATAATTGTATGGCCTATAAATAATCATTTTGGTTCATTTGGGTCACAACAAATTATCATTTGGTTTGTTCATGTGTAATAAAAGAACAAAATTTTGTATGTACAGTACATCTCCAACTACAAGATGCAAGAAAAATTTCTAACGTGAGGTTTTTTTATTTTTTGATACGGTTTTTTTAATAAATTATTTTACCTATGTCAACGTCATCGCTTTTACTCTTTGCACCTAATGAAATTAGTGGCAATTCGTTCTCCGAATCTTCATGTCGATCTTCAAAAGCATCAATCTCCACGTCTTCTTGTTTTCCAGCAGTATCTAGAATGAAACAGATTCTAACTCAATATATAAAATAACAACTGATGTTTTGTCCAAGCGACTAGATCATTACAGACCATCACACAGCTTATGGACCCGAGCCAACCACTTTCATTACCATACTGCATGTTTAATAAGCTATGTGTAATAACCTGAAGTGGCAATAGGCCAAAGAACTGACAACCGATGAAGAAGAAAGGTTCTCCTAACGTGACGTAATTGTGGCAGCCTCGTGCCGGCAGACGAAGTGTAGGGTGGTCTCCCACTAGATGGAGTGACGACGTGGTAAGACATGCAGGAAGTCAATGGATGCAGGTGGCTCAGGACCGTGATTTGTGATGTTCCTTGGGGGAGGTCTATGTCCAGAACTAGACTTGAAATCATCATCATTACATCTCTCCAAGACGTAATTATGATGATGATTCATTCACCTCATTTAGTGAGTGCTCCGCCACAACTTGTTTTAGTAGTTGAGTGCTTGCCAGTATAAGGATACCTTGAGCACCTTGTCTCTATATATTTTTTAGTATGAAGAGATAAACAAACTAACAATCCACCTTATGGTATGTAGCTGATCAATCTGAAGGTAAGTGGGTACTGTAGTCTTACATGTTAACTTCAAACATAAAAGACTACAATGCGCTGTCACCTCTGACTAGGGATGTGAAGAAAGGCATTAAAACTCAATTTATACAGCATCGATTTTTTCGTCCACCTCTTTAAATTGATTTTTATTTAATCGATTTTTTGTAGAAAAATAACCTATTTTGTAACAAATAAGACGATCATTTGTAAATTGTGTGAATGAAAGAAATCACTTTCTTTTTATTATTAAAACCTGATTTGGAAAAAGTAGAAATTAAAAAAATCAGCACAGGTGGCTTGGCAGAGAATGCAAAGTAACAACTGTGATAATCTTTTCCCTAAAAAACGACTCCTACTTTTTCTAACAATATTTCCTACTTGAGAAATGCCTTTCTGCAGGAGATGATGAAGATGGAATGACCAGGTGCTTGCAGGCTAATTTTGAGAATTTTGGATACACCCTCGCATACGATTTCCACAAATATAGGGGGTCCTTTGTTAAATCTTCCAATGGCGCTACGATATATAAATCCAACTCCAACATCACGGCGGGTGATGTTGGAGTTGGATTTATATATCACACAACAGACTACTCATCTGCAAGTCTTCCCACTTATCTACTGTGAAACATATATTGATTACTGAATGCAATTTCTGTAGGCTTTTTCTTTTCATATTTTCTGTCTATTATGTCTGTCACTGTTTTCCGACATGGTATATTGTACAAGTGTGCAAGTAACTTTATCTGTTCTGAAAACCTTCGCCTTCAACAATACTGTATGGGAGACTAATATTTATTGCTTTTTATAAAATTTGAACAAAATGATTGTGATAAAGCATAAATTGGAAATGTTACAAGTATTAAGTCTTCGCTGCAAAAAATCAAAAACTTTTAATCGCTTTAAAAATTGATAAAATAAATAATCGATTTTATTTCACAAGCCTACCTCTGACAACTGAGATGCAATGCCCCACAGCCTGTGATTATACTGACTCTATACTCTTCACGCTACAGTGCACGCACTGCTATTTGACGACAGAAATAGGTAACAGGAGGATGGAGGAATTCATCTGGGTCAAGAAATTGGCAAAGATAGGTGGTAGCTTACCAGTTGTAAGTATATCAATAATTCCTATTAAGTGAATACATCTTAGTGTACATACATAATTGCTGCATTTATACAACATCAATATATTTATACATAAGTCAAAGAAAATGTCTAACAAAGCTCATTATGATGTCCATGTATGGTTATCTTTTAAATAATTATTTAATTTGTTATTTTCTTTCTCCATGAGTGCTTTTTTCGTGCACTTTGAATTTAGGCAAATGCAAATCAGTACATTGCACATGAAGTCCTCTTTATTTTGTGTCCATGGGCTACAGCCACTTGCCATTATGTAAATTGTACCTTAAATTAATAATATCACAAAATGTGATATTATTAAATTAAGGCTTATATCTTACCTATTTCATGACTCCTGTTTACTTCAAATTCGAAATTCTCATTTCCGATTTTCTCTTCCTCAACTTTAACAGATTCAAGGCTAAAAATGTCATCCTTACAATCATTTTCTATATCACACTCTACTGGCCAGATATCTATATGATTAATTGGTGTGAATTGAATCTCATCTCTAGCCTCATGTGGTTTTGGTATTGACTGAAACCAAACTCATTTTTAAATAAGAGAAAAAGCCAGTGTAGTAGTGGCGTAGGAGAATCCATACTACCCCATACCATCCCGCAGATGCAGCAGCATCTTCCTGACAACAACTCCAAATAACAATAAAAACCGGACAAAAGTGAGAGTTCCCAATAAATTTAAACAAGAATGTAGATAGTTTAGAAATTTAATTAGAAACGAGACTCAACAATTTTTCCATTCAGATTCACAAATACTTTAAATTGACAAAAGTTTACTAATTATCACCTATAAACAGTATTTAGTTTACATACAATAGATTAATACATAACAGTATAAAGGGGACAATCATTTTTGGGCCCACTAGAAATATTAACGTTACTTAATGGTGTTTACACCAAAAAAAGACACCAAATTATAATAGTAAATGGCCTATAGATTTTTCGAAAATGTAAACGGAATCAAGAATCCGAAAAAAAATTTGTTGTTTTGATATTCGTGTTCTGATCATTGGCTAAGGCAATATATTGTCTTAGAGATGTGCCGTGATAACTCGGAAAAAATCGACTCGAGTTGAAATTCAGGTAACTCGATTTTGAGCTCGAGATACGCAATTCAAATTAGCTGAACGAAGCTGTGTCAATTTGTCACAAATTATTTTTATAATTGTTCTTCCATACAACACAATTATTATTACTACACTTAATAGGTAGTTATATATTATTTTTGGTGTGCGTATCGACAATCTTCATATAATAATATCACTCTAACGTTATGACGTAAGTCTTAATGTTATTAATAATTTGACAATCACAAAGTATATATAATCAATTTATATTTATGTAACATAAATTGATACAACATTATATACATATTACCTAATATCAATTTATTTATTACATAATATATCAATAAATTGCTTTAATTAGTAAGTCGATTTCATCACTAAATTGTAGACAAACACTGCATTGGCCGTAAGATAAAGATGCGATTAGAGTAGAATTTTGTGACTCGGGCCACTCGGGTTAATTTATGAATGTATGTCATTCTAGTTGTACACTAGTTTTTGAGTAAATCGACTATTTACAGAAAAGTTTATCACTAGAGTTGAGAGTAACGATTACTTTAGTTAAACCGTTTTTAAATATGTACTTTTATAAATAAATAATATGTGGCAACATGAAATTAAAATTATAAATCAATATCATAAATCAAACTAAGTTCAGGTTTGTTTACAACATGCCAGATGCAAGTTTGAATTTGGATGCTACTTGTGATGTCACCCGCAGCGACTTATTATATTATATACAAGTAAACTAGTGAAGTAATATCTATATAGCACCCTCTCAATCTATACGATGCGCCGAGTTAACTCGGTAACTCGGTAAAATTTATTTTCTATCGATTATCGAGTTGGACAAATACACTCGATTCACTCGAGTGAAATAAAACATGGTTGGAGTCGCATCATTATGGTAAGAACAAAATGAAGTTTTTATTTACAAGCATTTCTAGACTAATGTTTAAGAAAATATGGATATTATCAATTATCAGGAAGGTTAGCCAAATATTAATTGACACAAGTACGTATGTTTTTCTCTCCTTATTTTTTGTGGTAAAATTCGCCAATAAAACTGACGAGTTTAGGTTAATTAATATAAGAGTTTATAATTTTACACCTAGAATTTGTAAAAATGTCATATTTGCGTCATCGGCGGCTGAGTTGCAAATGATGGTTACATTAATGAACTGGGAATTAAAAGAAAGGGGAATGAAAGTGAACGCAAGTAAGACGAAAGTGATGGTTTTTGAAAGAGAAGAAAGCAAAACGGTATGTGAAATAAGAATAGAAGGAGAGTTAATTGAGCAAGTGGATGAGTTTGTGTATTTGGGATGTGTATTTAGCAGGGATGGTAGATATGATAGGGATATAGAACGACGAGTAAATGCAGGGAATAGAGTGAATGGGGCTCTGCACTCTATTATGAAGAACCAAAATGTGTCAAAACAGGCACGTATGGTAATTCATAATGCTGTGTTAGTCCCTACTTTAACGTATGGTAGTGAAAGCTGGGTGTGGCAGAAGAAGCACGAAAGTAGAATAAATGCTGTAGAAATGCGGTCTTTAAGGAATATGCTAGGATTGAATCTGAATGACAGGGTGAGAAATTGCGTGATAAGAGATAAATGTGGTATGCAAGATGATGTTGTGACCAGGATTAAGAAAGGAATGCTTCGGTGGTTTGGTCACGTAGAAAGAATGAATGAGGAAAGAGTGACAAAGCAAATTTATATGGCAGATGTGAACGGCCGAGTCGGGAAGGGACGCCCTAGAAAAAAGTTTATCGACCAAATTGGCGATATTTTGAAAATGGGCCACGTTAGAAGTACCCTTAACCGACGAGCATGTATGAGTAGATGTATGGATGTAAAGGAGGCGAAAGAGGTATGTCAGGATCGTGCCAAATGGAAGTCCGTAGTCTCTGCCTACCCCTCTGGGTGACAGGCGTGAGTGTTTATGTATGTAATTTGTAAAAATGTATTATGAAGTTTGTTGAATTACCTAAAACAAGTAACAAACAGGTCTTAGAACCTTATTAGTTTGTTAAAAGTGACAAAGTATTAAGTTTATGTTATTAGTAAAATCTAAATTAAATAATAAATAGAATAAATGCACAAAAGAAGTTATTATAATGTTAAAAGAAAATTAGAATCTTTGGGTCAAGGGACTTAAAGAGGGTTTTGAAGAGCAATTCATATAACTGCATTTGTGTACAAATAGGTACCTTATGTATTCAGCAAGTTGCTTAATACTAAATGGTTTTTTGTTAAGCCAGACACTGATCTTGGATTTATACCGGCCGTAGAAGATAGGCAATATAAATGGTACTTAAATGTATGTGTAAAATATGTAGTAATTATTTGTACTCGAAGCAAATATAAAGTTTAATAATAATAGGTTGCATAAAAAAAGTGTAATGGTTCTATCTATTATGCTTAGACAGCTGTGTTGTTCACTCTGCAGAAAGGAATATTATGTTGTCATCTAGAATCAGATATACTTCATATAACAATAATATCTTTCTCTCCTATGTACATGAAATCTGGGAAAATAAAATGTGAGACAACTTTTACATAGTTGAATATCATTGATGTTAATCAATAATTACTGCTTCTGTATTTGATCAGCTGGAGCTGATTATTGCTGTATAATTTATAATAATTTCTTTATTATTTAACATATGAACAGGCAGATATAAGAAAATGCTCACAGAAATATGTAAATACAGTTTATTGACATTGAAGGCATAGTCGTATCTCATATCTCTTATTATTAAAAATGTCCTTTTAATTCCTATATAATATAGAAAAAATAATATATTGATAAGAGTTATTATTTAATTAAGACACCTTTACAATTTTCATTAACTTCTTTTCAGGTGGATCGCTTAGAACAAATCTGTATGCCTTGCAAGCTGAAAGCTTGCAGAGACAAAAAGTGTATGGATATTGAAGACAACACTGCCCTGATACGGAAAAAGGCGGCTAAGTGCATTTTGGCGATTTTGAGCTTTCAGCACCACTAGACTAGGCAAAAAATTCTCTATCGACCAATATTGGAATTATATTTTTACGATTGATAGTTCCTGAGATACATTAAGCATTTTAGCGGTTAAGTGCAAAATTTTCTTGGCTGTCATAAGCTAGAAATCAGTTACGATGCACTGTTACGCTACAAAGCCATTAAGAGATTTTAACGATTTATTTTCTTAGTCGAAGTATAATATTTGATATTGTAAAACTAAGAAAAAATGTAGTTAAACGCAGTTTCTAAGCTAAAAGGCAGTTAGCCGTTGATAACTGCTTTATTCCTTAGCAGCATTTTTGCTAGAGTAAGTCGTAATAATACGCTAAAAAGCGGTAAACACTATTAGTAGAAGCTAAAAAACAGCTAAAAGCACTTAATTTCTTTTAAGCATAGAATTTAAAAAATGTATTAAAATTACGAAATTCACATAAAAGCAGTCACGACTTTTTAGCGTATGATTAACCTTTGAATTATATTTGAAATAATATTGAAACAGCGGCTAAATGAATATACTACGCTTAAAAGCATTTAAGTGTAAGTTTAGCAATCGATGTGTGCGTAGAGAATCCGATCGGTAAAAAAGTGCGCCAGAAGTGTATATTTCTTGGTTTGGATTTTTTATTTGGATCATTGCGTTCCGAGACGTCACGGGAGAAAGCCGCATGCTTATCACGTCGATTTTTTGGCGCCAACACGTTAGTTATAAGGTAACTAGATACCTACTTAATAATGTTTGTAGTTGCATATTGTATCATTATGATATTATTATTGAGTAATACTACTCAAAAGTTGGTATTTATTCCACCAATTTAAGCCATGCACATATTTTAAATTTAAGTTCATATCTTTCTCAACTGGCATCTTCATTAAGATCGGCACGTATAGCGTACTAACTAACCACAATCAATATTAAACATTTTAGCAACTCATATCGTAAACCCCTGATTTAGTACTTATAATGTAGTCAATAATAACACATTTTATTTAATACGTTTCTTATATGCCAGCTTTATATTCATGATAAAATATTATTAAAATACAATGCAGCAAAGGATTTTTTTTTAATTTATAGTTAGACGTCATGCCCCATAATTAATATTATTTGCTTTTATGAAAGGCAAAAATGTTTAACAATATATTTCCTTGTGCATGAGTGTAGATGAAATCTTGTATGAAACTACTATCCTTGTTATATTTGCTTTATCATCTGTAATGTTCAAAAAGTGTATTTTAAAAAAAAATACTAATAAGTAAAGTATTGCGTTAAGGTTTAAATAGTTTATTAATGGTTCAACTGTTGTTTCTCGAGGCAAGTTTTGGCTAGCATAGCCACTACAGTTGTTGTGTTGGCTGGGATTTGCTCAGGGAACACTCGAATTTATTCATCTTTTGTGGTATCATACAACATGTTTGCTGTGCATTATTATATTACTTTTATTGTGATATTACTTTGTGGATAACGGTGTTGGTTGTGTAATTATTTGTATTTCCCTTTTTATAAGACCTTCATTTTGTATTATATTTTATTACACAATTGTTTGTTGTCCTGAATAAAATAAAATAAAATAAAAATATACACCAGTTAATAGACTAATATTTTTTCCTTATTTGTTATTAAATATTTTCATAGCTGACCTCCTTTCTTTTACATTATTTGAGTACTTATATTATTTTACAGATTGAATAATGTCTCGGTTTAACAGAGGAAAGAAGTTAGTAAGCATGGCAATTAAAGAATCGGCAGATGACCGTAAACCATTTGAACATAATCAGTGGGCCCAGTCGACACGATTGGCTCCCCATTCTTCGATAATTAATTCACTTTGGTCTCGATCATACTCGATGGATATTAAGTTTAAGGAACATATTTTAAGTGATTCTGAATCAATTGATAAAGTTCTGTCAACTCCAAAAGATGCGTGGGAGCAAATATTCAAACTGGATAATTCGCAACAAAAAAATGAAGATACATCAAAAATTGACTTAACTGATAACGAACAAAATTCTGTGAATATTTTTTGTTATGAAGAAATGATACCATCTGTAAGCGATGGATTTGATTGTAATGAATTGAGCACTACAGATAAAAACTATGTGCCACCAGAGAGTATGTCCCAAACTAACTCCAAATCCATAGAAAATGAGAACCAATCTATTACTTACTCTTTGCCTCCCACTGTACGTCTTTCAGAATCTGCACAGCAATATCACCTTGAATTTATTGATAAAGATTTTAACTCCAATGATTGTTTGAATGACAAAAATTATGCGCCGGCAGCCAACTTATCGCTGAATAGCTCCGAATCGGAAAAAATACACAATCTGTCTATTAATTACTTGCCGTCTACAGTACGTCTTCTAGAATCAATAGAAGAGCACCATTTTTTAGAATCAAGCGGTGAAGATTTCGACTCTGACGATTCTGTAAGAGATAAGGATTACGTGCCATCAGCGGAGATGCCACAAAATAGTTCTGATTCCGAAGAAGACAATAATCAGTCTATTTCATACTTATTTCCGCCTACTATTCAACATGATAAAAAAGTGAATAAACAAAAGTCAGATTTAGCAGGCACTGAAAAATTTAATATCGAAAACGATATGATTGAGCAGAAGAAAACATCTAAAAAAACGATCGCAGCCAAAAACCTGGAAACCAAAGAATTCAGAAATGCAACTACAAAAATAGAAACATTGCTATCGTTATGTAGAAATGCTATTAATAAAAATATATATCAAAAGCAAGAAAATCAATCATTTTTATTTACATGTAATGACGATATGCGTGATTATAGTGAACAAGAAAAAGTAACTGTGTACATAATTGTTGAACAAGAAATGCCTACTAGTCCAAAAGATAATATAATAATTGATACTAATTTAGAGCGCGTATCCGAGGAAATAATAGAGAAAGAAAAAAATACCACGGAGCAACTGTACACTAAATCCGGAAAATTACGTAAAAGAAAAACGTTTCAAAAAAGTTTAAAGGAGAGACAACTCGCTAAAAAAACAAAATACATAGAAAAACATGCTGTGAAAGAAGGGTGCAAAAACAGTTGCTTGAAAAAATGTAACATAATGTTTAGTGAAGAAGACAGGAAATATATAAACAAATATTACTGGGGTTTGAAGTGGAGAGAACAGCGTATATTTTTGAAACAGAGTGCTCGTCTTGCCACACCTAAGCGGAAAGTTACAACACCCTCAAAAAGGCATGCTAGGCGCACGTTTTTTTTTTCAGAAAAACGGACGACACATTGAGGTCTGCAAGCATTTTTTACTTACAACACTGGGTTATAAAAGCTCTAATGATAAAGTATTATATAATGCTTTAAGCGAAGAAATCGCGAAGGATGACATGAGAGGAAAGCATACAAAAACTGAACATTATAATAGAGAGAGTGTCATTCAACATATACAAACATTTCATCCAACAAATTCACACTATCGAAGAGAGCATGCTCCGAAACGAAAATATTTGCCTAGTGACATAACTGTGAAATTGATGCATGCTGATTTCATAGAAAAACAACCAGGTTTCAAAATATCCTACGATTTTATAGAAAAGTAGTGAAATCTTTAAACATCTCCTTCACACAACTAGGTCACGAGGAATGTGAGATATGTGAAGCTCATAAAATACATTGCAAATCTGAAAATCATGATAAAGACAGTATTTTTGATGACTGTGTAAAATGTTTAGATTACAGGAATCACAAATCGCGAGCACTAAAAGCTAGAAAACTTTATTTAAAACATAAGGAAGAGAAGGAAAATGAACCCAACCACATTTACTATAGCACAGATTTGGAAAAAGTTATAATGTTACCAAGATTAGAAACTTTTAAGGAAGTAGTTTTTTGTCAAAGACTGGTAGCATTTAATCAAACCTTTGCTCCGATAGGAAAATCTAATACAAATCCATACGCTGTTTTATGGCACGAAGCCATAGCTGGCCGTAAACAAGAAGACATTATTAGTGCCTTTAATGTTTTTCTTATGCAGAGTCGAGATTATAATTTCATTGATTTGTGGCTTGACAATTGCGCGGCTCAAAATAAAAACTGGCTATTGTATTTTTACCTAGTCCACATTATAAACTCCAGCGCAATCAGTGCCAAGCAAGATAACCTTAATTATTTTGAATCTGGACACACCTTTATGAGTTGTGACCACTTCCATCACCAAGTGGAACTTTCAATGAAAAGAAAAAAGAAACTCCACGATTTTCAAGACTTTATTGAAGCAGTGTCTGCTGCCAATACCGCAAAAGTGACTGTTAAGGAAATGAAAACCTTCGATTTCATTAACGTTATTGACTATACATCTCCAAGAAGAATCCAAACTTCAAACCCACGTGCATATATGCGAAACATGGTGCAAGTAATATTCAAAAGAGGATCGTTTAATTTGTTTTACAAAACTGACTTTGATGGGGAAGTAAACGAACTAACTTTTCTAAAAGATACGTATTTAAAATCTAAAACAGGACCGGTTTCTGTAATAACGTCTAGAACAAATCCAAGAGGCATAAAAACCTCAAGAAAAGAGAATATACTGAAAAAACTTAGCAAATTTATGCTGCCTTATAAGCAAACGTTTTGGAAAAATTTACCTACCAATGACAATGAAAAGACTGATTCTGATGAGGAATGAATTTATTAATAATGTAGGGTAGTATTTAAAAAATAATGATTGCTGATCTCAGTGTAGAGTCACTCAGTGACGATAAATAATATTTAAAAGTATCTCTTCAAAAAAGCGTTAAAAGTCTGATTACACTAATTAAGATTTAGGAATGTAACTTTTATTTGTTGATTTTTAAAATATTTTTGTTATTTTTTTCCTTAAAATTATTGTAAGATTGATAATTACCTCTTTATTTTAGAATGAAGAAGTGAGTAAGAAGTCTGATTACCAGATATAATAATTATGTTTTAAAAATAAAGGTTTTTTTTTATTGAAATTTTAGAAATCATTTTCTTGTTTTTCCTAACGATCCAAAGTTATGGTATCCTTCAAAGCACATTTTTATTTTACACTTAGCAACTTTTAAAACTTACATAATGGTAATATATCTATGCTAATGCTAACCAAAAAAGCAGTTATATAAGATTGATGTGCATTTAACTGCCTTTTAGATTAGTAATACTTCTATTTAATTTAATTATTTGCTAATAAACTAAACTTAAAGGCAGTCAAATCACTAAACTGCAATAAAGCATAATCTACGAGTATAATTTAAATTATAAGTCAGAAATCAAAAGAACGTTAAAGTAGGTTAGCCGCATTTTTGCTTCTGACTATTCTTAGTACTACACTAAAAAAGTGGATATGGTACACTTAGCTGCCTTTTATATTATGATAAATATTCAAATATAATGGTACAATACTTACGTTAACTACATTTTTGGATTTTACAGAAGAGTATGGCATTAATTTCAATAAAACATATTAACAAAAGTTACGTAATTTTTTTTTACATGTATTTCAATATTTAAAACTTTTTTCTCGGTTATATATATCAAGAAAACCAGTTTTGCGCTTTTTTTCAGTTTTTCTCGAAACATACATTTGTGGCTTAGCCGCCTTCTTCCGTATCAGGGCAGAACAGTATTATATCATATCTCTTATAATTGAAAATGCCCTTATAATTGCTTGCAATATCATAAATGTAGGTACATGCTACCATCAAGTTATTTTCAAAAAAACCTTCAGAAATATATCTAACACTAAAATGTTTCTACCTATGTCCGTTATAGACAAAACATAAGAAACCATCCATCCAATTTTAATGAAAATGTTTGTGTTTGTTTGGATGGATCCCTAGATGCTTTATATTTACATTTGGACTCGGTAGATGGCACTGTTGTCGAGATCCATAAACCACCAGTGCTGCAGCTGAGGCGCATCGCTAGTAATAAATACATTTAAATTAAGCCTGTGTTTTTGTAATCCTTACACGAAGAGTTTAAAACATCTTACTTCCTCACTATTTATCATTGTGTAATAACATAGATAAGCATGTTACTTCCCAGTAATTTTATTATGATGTATCTACTACTTACTAATCAACCAAAACATATTAAAACAAAGTCTTGACACCGCTGTTGTTTATATATGTCAGTCAATCATCAAAGTTCAAAAAATTTACTAAACTAAGTTTGTATAAAACGGGTTATTATAGTACACAGATTACCTCCTAATAGATTCCCCATACCGGGCCACAAACGCGCGCAACACATACTTGCTGTAGCTAGCATACGAAGTAACGCTAAGAATCACGATATCAGTGTCGACCAAGTTTGTGACCCGTAGGCACGTCCGCGTTTTTGAAAATTTAAAAATAATTTTGTGTCCAAAATACATTACAAATGGCTTCCTATGCTGTGAAATGGTGTGGCAAGTCAGCTAAGACATCTAGTTATCAAAAAGATGGCATAATATTTCATCGGTAAGTAAAATTTATTCTTATCACGTTAACCTATTTCAAATGCACTGGAGTTCAACTTACACTGGATATATAATCTCGCAAAGTGATATCATTTGAGCACCCGTTGATATCTTTTTGAAATGTCCCTTTCACTCATTACGTAAATTAAAATAGTTGTCTTTGTCTAACGACAGCACGTGTATCGATAGTGTTGTGATTTTAAGTTGATATTTGTTGGGTCACCGTTTACTTTTTTAAACCAAGCATACCACTGGAAGACTTCAAGATACTGAAAGTTCGTTTTATGTAGATCGGGACCTAAAATCAATATTCAAAAACTGAAAATAGCCGGGCTAACTGTGATATTGAGATGTCAAACATCTCAGTCCCCCTGCCCCCCGTGACCATAAGTTAATTAAACGCGATAAAATCCATATAATTATATAGTTTTATTCAATGTGTAGTGTTCGCGTAAATTATATATATATATTTGTACATGTAATCTAATTTCTTAAATTTACGCGAACACTACACATTGAATAAAACTATACAATTATATGGATTTTATCGCGTTTAACTAACTTATGGTTAAATTAAATTTTTAATTTAACCATAAGTTAGTTAGCGATTTTTTTTAATTATTAAAAAATTATTACTTTGTTATAGTCATGTTATAGCTTATTAATGCTATGTGAAATCGATAACCGCATCTAAATCGGTCAAGCCGTCTCAGGGAAAAATTCGCTACAACGAGTGAACGTTTTTTATTGCAAAGCGAGTCAACACCATAACTTATTTTTATAACTTTTTCTTCTTGTTTTGTTTTTTTTTTTAATTCTGTAAGCCAAGCCATGCGCACTTTTGATCGTACAATACCTACCTTACGTCCGCCAAGCAGTGATCTAATTTGATCAGAATTATGTAAACGTGTGTACCTATGAAAAAACTATTTTTTCGTTTTAAACAAAACCAAAGACACTATGCAATAGATAATAGTATCAAAGACAAAGATATGCTCTTTTATTTTAAACCATAACCTGGCAATGTTTCTTAGAAAAAAAAAAAAGAAATCACTCTGAACTTTCGGCGTTCCACGTGTCGTTTTGATAAAGGTGCTCCGTCTTTTTTTATAGAATTTTATATTTGTGTCTGGACTAAAAACGAAAGTATTATACTTTTTTATATTCCTTGTAATATAGTGAACACATATATATATAATTTGTGGTATAAAAAGTGAAAAGTAAATTGCCAAAAGTGCTTCAAAATCTGGAAGGCCCATTATGGCGGCTGGGTCATAAATCTGTTATTTTTCAAATTCTCATTTATTTTTAGTGTAAAATGTAAGTAAAAATAGTTTTCTTACATATTTCAAATAACTTGACGTTGTATTTATTTCAAATTCACACAAAACTATTTTAGAAATATTGTTCTAAATGTCACACAGATAAAATATTATTATTTTTTTTTTAATTTTTATATATTTTAATATTTTGGTATGAGTAACGAATGGAAACACATAAAACATAAAAATATACATATTTCCAAACATTTTCATATAAATTTCTCTAAAAACAAAAGTGTAGAATTCAAATTAGTAGTAATTTTGTCACTAAAATTGAAGTATATACCACTATACAGCTATACAGGGTAATTTACGTATTTTATTACAATTTCTAGCAACCAAAAATAATTTTATTCGATAGTTTATACATTCAACAAGAATTCCTGTAAGTTTTATCCATAAATATTGTCTCAAAGTGAAAATATAGCAAAATTTGCAATATAGCAAAAAATTTGCTAATTTTCAAATTTTCCCGCCATTACGGTCCCGAGCGAACGGGAGTATAACATGTCGCGCGCTCGCTTGGCGAACAGGAAGTAATAATTATATATTTGGCAAATTTTTGCCAGATTCCTCCACAACCACATGTTATCACACCCGTATGTAAATGCGTTCTGAAAGAGACCTAGTTTCCAATACATGAATCAACTGCTTAAAGACGGCTCGGGTTCTCCATTATTAATTGGTTAAGAAACGTATTTTGTGAGCGAGTGAAATCGGCGTATCTTGGAATCGGGTCGACTGTCTCTATGCAACTGTTAGATTGGGCAACAACTACTTTGTTATTCGTCCATCTCTCTGTCTTAGAACCATAAAAAGAATATATATATATATATATATATATATATATATTTCTATTATTTATATACAATGTTTTACTTTTTAATAAATTTCAAATAAAAATTGATCAATTCATTATTTATCAATAATCAATAAATCCCAAATTTATCGATCAACGTCCTAACCCTGTCCCATCACTATGGTTCGGAGCATTCTAAGTTCAACCTTGAATTATCCAATCACAGCGCATTTGACACGTCCCCCGCAACTCGAAATTTGGTGAAATCGAAACAGAACAAATATTCCATGATGCGGTATCTATTAGGAGGTAATCTGTGTTATAGTATAAGGAATTTATGGATGACAATAACCCGTGGGTAAGGTGATCGCTACCAAGCTATTTCTAATTTGTTCTGTGTTGTTAATTATGACATACATGATTGTAAGCTGGCTTTTTTTAAAAGACCCACTGAGTATTTCTGGTTCTCTTCAAGTCAGAGGTTTTTTCCGAACCAGTGGTAAATTAAAAAGTGACTCAATAAGAATTATTTATATTCTAAATTGAATAAAAGGTTTTTGTTTCTGCAATAAAAGGGGTTATTATAGTATAGAGGAATTTATGGATGACAATAACCCGTGGGTAAGGTGATCGCTACCAAGCTATTTATAATTTGTTCTGTGTTGTTAATCATGACATATATGATTGTAAGCTGGCTTTTTTAAAAAGACCCTCTGAGTATTTTGCTGGTTCTCTTCAAGTCAGAGGTTTTTTCATAACCAGTGGTAAATTAAAAAAGTGACTCAATAAGAATTATTTATATTCTAAATTGAATAAAAGGTTTTTGTTTCTGCAATAAAAGGGGTTATTATAGTATAGAGGAATTTATGGATGACAATAACCCGTGGGTAAGGTGATCGCTACCAAGCTATTTATAATTTGTTCTGTGTTGTTAATCATGACATATATGATTGTAAGCTGGCTTTTTTAAAAAGACCCTCTGAGTATTTTGCTGGTTCTCTTCAAGTCAGAGGTTTTTTCATAACCAGTGGTAAATTAAAAAAGTGACTTTCAATAAGAATTATTTATATTCTAAATTGAATAAAAGGTTTCTGTTTCTGTACCTACTACTGTTAATAGAATACTTAAATAAATTACGATTTACAATAATAAATAGAGTTACCTACATTATAATTTGTTTTTTGTAATACAACCAGTTTAAAACATATTTCTTACTGTGTGTTGGTAATATCATAAGTATAAATAGACATTATCCCTTAGCCATCTTGGTATTTAGAATTACACTCACAATCAATCAATACATGTCAAAAATAGAATCCATACGACATTTTGTGCATAGACAGGCACTATGTTTTGCCGGAACTAGTGAAAGGTTTTACATCGATTTTAAAATATTTATAAACGCTGAATATAGGTATATTACAGCTTAGTTTTATATGTATTCAAGTGTGCACTATTTTAACTTGTAATCCCGATGAATACTAGTATAAAATCTCTTTCAGTTTGTTTTTAGGTTATTGCTAGATTCACATTTTACGAGGGTGGATTGAAAAGTACTCGGCCTAACACAGATCCATTCAATTCTAAAAATCAAATCTACTCACATTATTTAGTTGAGTTCAGACTAGTTCATTGTGTGAAGTTCGAAACGTGTGCGATAATTAGTTGTGATTTTATAAATTTATTAACAAAGTAATCGGACATAATTTCCGCGAATGGAGCAAATCGAGCAGCGTGCCGTCATTAAGTACCTCCATAAGAAGGGGCTATCATCAAAAGCCATCCATGATGACATGGTCAGTACATTAGGCGATTGTGCTCTGTCATATTCATCCGTCAAAAAATGGATAGCAGAATTTAAGCGTGGTAGAGAGTGTGAAAGATGAACCCCGCTCTGGAAGGCCTTCGACGTCAACTACTGACGAAAATATTAAAAAAGTACTTGATTTAATAATGGGAGACCGCAGATTAAAAATTAGAGAGATAGCCGAGATTATAGGCATCTCTTATGAACGAACTCAAAACATCATTGTCAACGAGTTGGGTTTCCACAAGGTGACTGCGAGGTGGGTTCCGCGACTGCTTTCAGTTGAACAAAAAAAGACGCGATTGACTATTTCACGCGACTGTTTGGAGTTATTTGAAGCCGATGCAGATGATTTTTTGAATCGTTTTGTTACTATGGACGAAACATGGGTTCATTACTGTACACCGGAAACAAAACAACAATCAAAAAAGTGGAGAAGACCTGGTTCACCACCCCCTAAAAAGGCTAAGTCGATTTTGTCGGCAAATAAAATGATGGCTTCAGTATACTGGGACTCGAAAGGTGTGATTATGATTGATTATCTTCAAAGGGGTCAGACTATAAACTCTGATTACTACTGCACCTTACTACGTCGTTTACGAGAGGAAATAAAAGAAAAACGTCGAGGAATGCTCAGAAGAAAAGTCCTGTTTCATCAAGATAACGCCCATGTTCACACGTCAGTACAGTCAATGGCTAAAATTCACAACTGTGGCTTTGAACTGTTACCGCATCCGCCGTATTCACCTGATCTGGCACCATCAGACTTCTTTCTGTTCCCTAACCTAAAAAAGCACTTGGGAGGTCAAAGATTTTCGACAAACGACGAGGTCAAAGCAGCTGTAGACGCATATTTTGACTCTAAGGAAGAATCATTTTTTTTCAACGGTCTAAATGCTTGGAAGGGGAGGTGGCAAAAGTGTATTGAACTTGATGGTGATTATGTAGAAAAATAAAAATATAACTGATTTAGTATGTGTTTATTTTCTTGGTTAGGCCGAGTACTTTTCAATCCACCCTCGTATCTGTTAATTTCTCATGACTCCGTTTAGGTGCAGGAAAAATAATAATATTATTGTAATCTATGGATTATAAGGAATAAATCGACATGCATTTCATTGAGAATCTCTAAAATTTGTAGTGGGCCCATTCTCCATAGGAAAATTGATCTTATTTTTGCAAAAGTAAGTACTTCACTTACTGTAGTTCATAAAATATATAGAACATTGCTCTTACAATAAAGTAAGTTGTATTGAAAGAAAAACTTAACTTTGCAGTAGAAAATACATTCTCCCATATAAAAAAATAAAATAAATAAGAAGGTTTTGTTCATAAGCAAGTACATATACAAATGTAGAATTCTTCTTTCGAATGCAGAATGCAACCATATCAGAAGAAAGCCACTTTTCCACATAATAAAATTTACTAAAGCAAGATCCGCATATACTAAATTTAACGCTGAATGTAAACAAATATTTTTGAAATTTATAAAGTAGAAATATTGTGTGTAGTGTGTGTGTAATATTCTCCTTGAGCACATCTCGAATCCCACAGTTTTCTAACTTCTGCAACAGAATGGAGGTACACAATGTCAAAAGCCTTTTTAAGATCAAGAAACACCGCGAGGCAATTTAAATTTTTATAAAAACTATCAACAACTACAGGTGTTAGGGCTTCTACAGCTTCATCAGTTGATTTTCCCGCTTGAAAGCCAAACTGGATAAGATGTGCAACTTATTGAGGAAACTTATGAGCCTCTTGTTGATAAGTTTTTCTGTAACTTTTGAATATATAGCTTTTTAGTAAAATTGGTCAGTAGTAGTTGTTGTGATTGTGATGGGACCTTCTCATTTCCACTCTTGTGAACAGGTGTTACTAGGCACTTCTTGAGCAAAGACAAAAACATTCCGTACTTAACTTACTTATATTAAAATAACATGTAGTAGAGTAGGACACTTGACTTGTGATAGCTGGTATACATTTGTGTTTATAAGCAAACATTATAGTGATCATAAAATTGCCTGCCAAGTGATGATTTAGGCAAGTAGTTATTATAATGGTAATGACCCATCAAGCAGTGAACTTTTATTAATAAGAAAAGTATTATTCCCTGGACCTTGTAGTGATGGTTTCAGGATATCCACTGCCCTATATACCTACCCACGGGACGGGTGTCGTAAGAGCCGACAGAGGGAATCAGGAACAGGAGTTAGGCAGCAGCATCTTCCTGATAACTACATTGGCAACATTGCTGCTATGAAGCAATCTCTGACAGACTTTTATAGGTATTAATGGATGGAATAGATAATACCATGGACCCTCCTGCAAGCAACTGCTCCAGAACTGCATTTGACTCAATAGCCTGTTGTTGCAATCTCCTGCAACGAATGAGTCTTGCATGACAGATGAAACAGACAATTATGGACTCCTCATCCTCATCCATCTGAAAATATGAAAATTCATCATAAATATGCTAATATGCATAATAACTACTTAAATGTACAATTTTGTAATAAAATATATTAGCCACCACAACTCTCTTCAACATCATTTTGTTATAACATTGAAGTGACAAATAAACCTACAATCCACCTTATGGTAAGTGGCCACCAAAGCACATAAGCACCTGAAACGAACTTCAAGCAAAGGCTACAGATGCGATGTTACCTCTGAGGACTAAGATGTAATGCTTCACAGCCTACTGCTATATACTGGCTCTCAATGTCCCTCAGGCGGGGACACAAACTGTATAAAATCAACTGCAGTATAAAGTAAGTTCCAGATAAGTTATATTAAATTATTTTATTTCATAAGGATATGGGCAGCAGCATTTTGCACATAACAGGTCAGATAATTAAAAAAGTGCAGTTGCCAACCCGCTTAGCCTAGGCTGGCAACTGTGGCGAATAACAATGATACCAAAAATGATTCTGAAAATATATAAAACATATATTCAACCTATTTATGCAGTAACTCAGTATAATTTGGAATGCATATTCCTGGATGTTACTGGAGAGGTTCAACACAGATATTCAAAAGTTCCTAGAGCATTGAAAACATACCATATGATGAAAGTCTGAAGACACTTTTAACTTTATTAATATAAATGGACACTATAATCTAGAAATATTTGGCAAACTATTATTCCAGTACCCAATGGACACACATCTTAGAGGCATCACTTCAAATTGACTAAAGCCGAGTCACAAAATTACCAAAAAGTGGTTGAAGTATGAAACTAGTTGCTATCAAAAGTGTAATTATCACAAATCATTAACCAATATTAGAACAGATTGGATAAACAAATAAAATGAAACAACTAAAATTTTGAAACCAGAGACATGCAAAATAGTTTATTAAACATATTTAAATTCAAAATGCAAATGCTTAGTTATTTTTTCAATGAAAGTATTTAAAAATACAAAATGCAAAGTATGTATTCAAAATAGATTTTTTAAATAAAATACCATACTTCATTGATTTTAACACTAGTATTTGTTCAAAGAGTTGACCTTTCATATACCATCTATGTGGCCCCTCATAATCATTTCACCAAACAAAAACAGTTGTTCAACAGGAGCAGTACTTAATTGTTTGACATTGACAAATACACAGAAACAGTTCCAAGCCAAGCTTCAGTTCCAAGAGTTTGTTGGACTTGCAATGTTGGCATTATTATTGTTGTCCACAACGTTTAGAATGGCTGGCTTATATAAATAAAGTCATTTTGAATGAAATATTGAAAATATTAGAAATTTAACAAAACCATGTTGCATTTAACAATGTACTAAATATTAATGTAGTGTTTCATATAAAATACAAAATAGATTTTGAAGAAAAAAGAATATCAAATGCAATATTAAAATATTTTATTTTTATGTTGCAGTCTGTACTTGCGTTTTAAATATATGTAATTCCAATATTTCATAATCACACAGTCCACCTGATAGTAAGTGAATATTGTGGCCCATAGACATCTACATTTATCCCCAATTAATTGTCACCCCTCAGGACCAAGACGGAATGCCTCACTACCTACCAGTATATAGGGTCTCCCATTCTCTACACTCACCATTGGAACAGCATTAAGCTGCTATTTTACATTGGTATTCTGTGAGCACATGGTAACACCCCCAACAATGATAACAATCTCCTACAGACAGCATTTGGTCACAACAGAGACTATACATCAGTGCAGGACAGGATTATATTGCATGTGTGTAAGCAAGCACATGTGAAGATTTCCTATATTTATTAATTTAAATGTGCAGATTATTGCCTCTTCTGATTTCTGTCTGATAGGAATATGAGAAATATGAGGGAATTTCTGTGCACTTTTAATCTCCCGGTTTAAAAGTTTGATAGAACTGCTATAAGTGGATGAAACACCAAACTAAGGTGGATGTTAAATCTTTGGAACAAATTCACAATAATACTCATTGAAGTAACATGTACTAGAACAGACATCGCGAACAAATCTATGCAGCAATGCGGGTCGCTTGGAAGGAGGCAACATACTCGGTAATTTTGAGCCCGCAGGCCCCAACGCGTGTTGCAAACACTACGTCTCGTCGTCACTTTTAGTACGTAGTAGATATTACTTCAATGATAGTACTGATTATGTGCGGCCCAGGATTCCAAATTATTGTTTTTCAGATTCTGGTTGTATTTGACTCTTTATTTAACGCTGCACCTTAGCCTAGCCCTGATCTATCGAATTTAATATCAGACAAGTTACAATGTATTTCTCCAGCGATAACAACATTTCCATTTCCATTTCCATTTACCGCAACTTCAATATGCAATAAAAAAACAAACTGAAGTAAAATCAAACTTACAAACCTCCATGTTTACAAATCTGTTCGTCAATGCTTTAAACAAATGTTGGAGTCCAGTCTTCTTTAGTACATACATGCGTACATTTACGCTTAAACAAATTCTACAAATTTCACTAAAGGCCATTCCTGTTTCTTATCGTTTCAAAATGTAATTCAATGTATATTATTACAACTGAAATTGAATTCTCTTTTTCATCCGAAGTTTTCAGAAATACTTTTTTATTAACTGGCTTTACGGCTCTGGTTTCTAGCCCTTCTGAGTTCTGAGCCTATCATTTCTTTTTTATATATTTGTATCTTCATTTTTATATATTTTTTCTTCATAATATGCTAATGCATCACATTGCAAAGTTTTTGGGAGATTTTGACGACAGCTCAACACAGCGGACATTTCATGGAGGTTAGAGAACAGGAGAACGATCACTGACTAAAGTTGGACGTTATAACATACAACAGATAATATATTTCATTATATATTTTTAATCTTACAACACATTAGAATAATGACCCATTGACTGTTATAATATTATATTCATTATCGTTAGAAAGTGTCATCTGTTTACGTTTACGGTCCAACCGTCGCGTCGGCCGAGACAATGGGAGACAATAAAATACTACCTACATTCATTATGCCACAAGGATTGCGTATAGCTTACACTAATTTAAACTCTAAGCTAACTTAATAAGAGCTTATTTTACTAACACTAAATTATAACGGTAAACAAAAATATATTATTTCCTTCATTAGTTGCCTGTTGTGCCTGTTATTTAATTTGGCTGTTGTAATATATAATATATCAGTTTAGTGTTCAGTTAGCTGTCTAGCTGAGATGACAATGACACTGTTATCTGTTAAATTATATACGTAATGTTTTGATAGCAGGTCCCCATATTACGTGAAAAAGCTATTGTTGTTTTTGTTTATTTTTCGTTAAGTTTTATTCCTAAAGTAATTTTAAATATTTAGTGTAATATAGATAGGATTTAACGTGTTGTATGTAAAAGTGTATAATAATGTCACGCCAGCGTAGCGCAGCCATTTGGAACTATTTTATAGTCCAAAGTGTGGACGAAAAAAAAACCAGTGTGCAATTATTGCAAAACAATTTTTTTTAAAGTACAATTACAAATTTAAAGCTTCACCTTAAGCAAAGACACGTAGGAGTGTATGAAGAGTTTTGTCGCTCGGATTTAATATCGGATAGACGCAAAAGACTTAAGTACGTCGTCAAAAGTAAACCAAATTATATTTTTGAATAGTAACTGAAAAAAATGTAAATAATTGTAGATAACTAAAACTTTGACCACAGTGTAAATAATGTAAAAATTCAATCAAAATGACGTAACATCAATGAGCTTCTAACTACGCCTGAATGAGTTATTTATTTCTTTTAAAAATTAATTATTTATTTAAAAAAGTAAATTTTTTGAAAATATGAGTAAATAATTGTAACAGATACAATAATTACACAGCTTAGCATACATTCAGACATCCTTAAGCCTATAAAAAGTAGGATGGGAAGTTCATTGAACTTAACATAAATATTTTAAATGAATCTCTTTAAAACACGAAACACTTAATTGATGCTGATACAACTTAAAAATATTTTTTGTCTTCATATAATACTTATAATCATCTAATATTTATAATCGTAATAATCTTTCATCGTAATATTTATAATCGTTATAACAACATACAACAAAACGCGAACACAGCCGACGACTGAACTGAACTAACCGCGTGTACAATGTAATATTTAAAACTGTTATAATATATTATAACAGTTTAAAACAACAGTTAGAAAAATATATTACAACAACATAACGAATTAGAAAAATATAACAGTTTCGCCCATCTTTAACGATCACTACGTACTAAAGCATAGCCCGCCTGTCCTTGAAAATTGTAGAATTTATAGCGGCGCTTACGTCGGTGAGTAGTGACTGCGAAGTTTGCTGTTTATGAGTACAAGTAGATGAAGTTAGTTGAATAATGTACAAATTTTCTTCGCGTCATTCATGAGAAAATTTTCATGCTCCGTAATTTTGTAATTCTTACAAAAAGAAACATAAAAAAATGTAGTAGATTTGCAAGTGATTTAGCATCTGATCGGAAAAATAGACTGAAAATGACTTTTATTGACCGAACATAGCGATCGCAGCGCCTCACTTATGGCATCCATATTTCAAGGACACTATTTTCTAAGGTGATCGCTCCCCTGTTCTCTAACCTGCATGGGACAGTTGATGACGACAGCCACTCATGTTCATAAGCCGCCCAAGCGATCAAATTAACTTGAGGTTTATATCAACATTTATCGTGAGTTTGCACCAACGCGATTTTCACAAAAAAAAACATGTTTTAAACACTGTTTCCGTCAATGTATCAAAAACCGTTTGCATAGTCAAGGAACATGATGTAGTAGGAGTGGGCGATACAAATCGTATATAGATACAATATCTATATATCAGTACAATATTCAACATCTATATATCGGACGACAAACCATGTATATATTAGATATTACGATATCGCTGAATCGCAGAATATCTAATATCTACTCGAAACGAAAACGTAAAATATCTAAATATATACATTGATTTGAATACCGAACAAACCGTGAGCGCGATAAAATATATAGGTGAAACTGATATTACGACTACTTCACAACTAAAGGTGATACGCTTACGCCTAATATTATTAATATTAATCCTTATTAGTAGTAACATACGATTTATTACAGAATACATCATTTTTAATTAATTCTTAGAAATCGTCAGTTTTACGTTACATCCCACAAGCCGACAAAAAATGCTCATAATGATAATAATTCTGTAATTTAAATATAAACTGTTAAATATATGTGTATGCATGAAAACTATTTAAATGAGTACAAAATATAATATATACGTAAAATGTACAATAAAATGCTACCGAACGTATGACAACTTAACCGTAGGGGGACGTTCAATTGCGAGAATTCGATGTAATCTGTGGTAAGGATTGACGTAAATATTATAAACATAATTGATTTTCAATAATTTTTTTCTCAAAAATTATGCGTTTCCGCATGTTGAAATTTTGCTAGTGTGTTAACAATAGTTTAACCTTTCTGTAAAAAAATGTCATAACCTGAGATAGGGATTGACATAAATATTGCAAAAATAATTGATTTTCAATAATTTTTTTCTCAAAAAGTACGCTTTTCCGCATGTTGAAACTTTACGTGTGTGCTTATATTAATGTAACCTTTCTGTAAAAAAAAATATCAAACCCCAACTCGACGGACGTCAATGGAAAGCTTAGCCAGGAAAAGTTGTGGAGTTTTTTGGATTTTAATTTTGAGGAAATTTTATTTTTTATGGATAAATATTAAGTGTAAAAAATCATGGGGACCTCTTGGGGGAAAGGGGGTACCCACTAAGGAAGGGGGAACCCCTTCACCAAAAATAAATAGAGGGACTCATTCAGAGGGATTTCTGTATCTATTTTGAGACTGCAACGTCTCCGGCGCTGCGGGAAGAGCAGCCTCTACGCCTTTGCGGTTCGGTAGCATTTTATTGTACATTTAACGTAAATAATTATATTTTATACTCATTTAAATAGTTTTCATGCATAATATAATAATAATTTTCATGCATGGTATGCATGCATTTCATGATCAGTACCTAGGTAATAAAAGATTGTACTGTTAAATAGGTAAATTATATAGAGAACAATTTTTTAAGTTTTGTCATTTATTTTGTATATTATATTTGCTTATTTAATATAATATTATATCACAATTACATTTTAATGATATTTTTATATCAATATTTTAAAAGGTATCTATCTCAAATATAAAAAAAACATACTTAATGTATGTTGAACAAAACTTGTTAATATAAAATTTAAATTACAAATATATTTATTTAAATTAGAATAAGAGCCGTTTATAAATACTGGGCACGCGAGAGTTAAAAATTGACGAATTAATTCCACTTTGACTTTGATGTGGAAACCTAAAAATAAAATATAAGAATAATTAGCAGATTTAATAAACACTCATATATGTTTCTACAAAAAATGTGTATAATAATATATTCGTCCTATATTTAAGTATCCACAGAAATGTCGCATCTGAACAAATAAATTTCATAATCTATATTACGTGACACAAGATGGCGTCTTAGGAATAATTTGTTTTATTTCTAATTTATACTTTTTTTTATTGATTAAGTATCTTATTAACCAATGAAAATAATTCCTTGGTTTATACTGACATTTCTTGAATTATTTATGCAATATCTAAGTACGCACGACGGCATATTTTTATCACAAATTTTTTTTTAAATCAACACAACACGTGTCAACTCTACAAGCGCCTAGCGAGTGACTGATTAAAGTGCATTGTATGCACCGCAGTCAAAGAATATATACACTACGCGAAAAGACACGACACTTAAGCGTGTGTGCACGTAAAATAGCTTGCGGCTATGTGTGGGTGTATGGATGTGTGCGGGGGCCTTAGGAGGCGCGCGGGGCGTGGAACGGGCAGTCGCCGACTGCCCCGGTCGAGGGCTAGCAGTGCTACCGATATTTGTCAGTATTAGTTAACATGAATATATTCGTCAAGTGATATAATATTTCAATTAATATATGATTATTACTGATATCTTAATGTACATATGACTCTTCTATTCATGTAGGTATTAAGTTTATGTTACCAAGTAACGTTATTAGTTTTTATAGCCGTGTATGCTAGGTTTATATGCTTTGATAAATATTAATGTTGTTATTAAATAAATGATATTGTTACGAGCTTAGGGTTCGTGACAATAAAAATTGCCGATAAAATTACCTAAATTAACACTTTAATTTACTTTACACAAATTAAAGTTAAAAACACTAATAATTAAACACACTAATTCACTTTATTCCGCTCCGAAGCTTCGCTTGTTTCGCCAAATCAACACTACTCTGATCGCATCTTGCAGCGCCTAGTTATATAAATTAGCAAAGAAATATCC